TTTTTTTTTTTTTTTTTTTTTTTTTTTTTTTTTTTTGAGACAGCCTCCCTCTGTCACCCAGCCTGGAGTGCAGTGGTGCAATCACAGTTCACCGCAGTCTCAACCTCCCAGGCTCAAGCAATCCTTCCACCTCACCCTCCTGAGTAGCTGGGACCACAGATATGGACCATGTCTAGCCTTTTTTTTTTTTCTTCTTTGTAGAAATGGAGTCGTCCTATGTTGCCCAAGCTGGTCTCAAACTCCTGAGCTAAAGGGATCCTCCTACCTCGGCCTCCCAAAGTGCTATGATTATAGGCATGAGCCAGGGCGCCTGGCCCTAGTTGCATATTTTTAACAACTCTGTCTTTGGCCTTGGCCTTGGTATATCCGTTAGTCTTTAAATTGATTAAACTTTGGAAGCCACGCTCACTGAATCTGCAGGTAACACAGGTTTGAGGAGACAGCATGTATGCTGAGTAACTGGATCAGGATGTTGACAAAAACCATGAATTGAATTCATCAAGAGGAAAACTAACTGGTGATAAACAGAAGACCTGCCCAAGACATCCCCTACAAAGCCTTAGGAAGAGTGAGGCCTGCTTAATGGTAGTGTGCAGGGAAGAGAGCTATAACTGATATTAACTTAGCCTTAAAATAATAATAAAAGAATATGATCTTAGAACTTATGAATAGGAGCATAGTACCTGGTATAGAAGGGGTGAACATTTTGCTCAATTCTTTTTTTTTTTTTTTTTTTTTTTGAGACAGAGTCTCACTCTGTTTCCCAGGCTGGAGGCAGTGGCACAATCTCAGCTCACTGCAAACTCCGCTTCCCAGGTTCAAGCAATTCTCCTGCTTCAGCCTCCCAAGTAGCTGGGACTACAGGCACACACTACCACACCCAGCTAATTTTTTGTATTTTAGTAGAGACGACTTTTCACCATGTTGCCCAGGCTGGTCTCGAACTCCTGAGCTCAGGCAATCCGCCCACTTTGGCCTCCCAAAGAGCTGGGATTACAGGTGTGAGCCACCACGCCCAGCCAATTTTGCTCAATTCTGTGTTGGGCAGACCACTGCTTGGAGTCTTACCTTAGAAGAGGCATCAGCACATGGAACATGTTCAGGAGAGAGTCACTAGGATACTGAGGCTACTCAAAACAAAAGTTTATGAGGCAGGACTGAAAGAATCAGATACACTTAGCCTGGAGAAATGAAATCCCAGTTCCCTGCAACCATGTGAAATACTGTCATGTAGAATTAGCCTCCACTCTGGGTGGCCCCAGAGAAGAGAACCAAGAAATCCCAGTGAGGTAGATTTTTGAAGATAGCAAAGATAAAGGAAAACATGATAATACTAAAAGCCAGGCACAATGCAAACAAAAGGGCTGTTTGGGGGAAAAGGGAGCTTTTAATCTTGGGAGCAAGCAGGCAGAGTCAGGATGGCCTCTGGGCAGGGATGTGGCTGAACAGACTCAAGCATCCCATGGAAGATTTAAGGTCCCTTACAAACCTAATATTTTATGCTCAATAAACACATGTTGAACACATGTTGAATAAACCCAGTCCCTGTCTCCTTGCTCCTCCCAGTCCCTGTCCAAATGGAAGATAATTAACATGGGATTTTACATGAAGGGCAAGCAACTAAAGAGCAATTTGCTTAGATTCTTTAGGGCATTTTTTTCCAAAGCTCACACCTAAATTTAAGACAATTCAACATGATAATCTACATACGTAATTTTAGGGTTGTTCCTTGGGACTTGCACCTGACTCTGTTAGCCATTTTCTTATCACCCCACTGAATAAAACTGTCTCGTTTTTTTTCTAGAGCAAGAAAATGTCAATAATCATCACCCAAGATCAATGCCAGTGCTACCCATTGGGAATTCACTTTCTGCATTTCAGAAAACCAAGCCAGGCAACTTAATTTTAAAAGCATGGTGTTGGAGTCTTAGGTCCAGCTGACCCATGTGGTTTCTCTGGTTCTCAGTAGCTTGGGTTGCTCCGGAAAAGTCACTGCCAGTGGGTTGGCAGACACTGTGGTTCTGGGCCCAGGATGCCACTTACTGTAAAATAAAACATTTCTGTTTCCTGCTGGTTGGCTCTCCTCTTGGCAATGTTGATCTTGCTCATGTAGGTCTCAGAGGCAGCCGACTTGACAGACTCTGTTGATCGACTGTGTTGGAAGGCATCGGAGACATCAAAGTCCTCCACAGTCAGCATGTCCTGTAATGTCTGCATGGTGGCATCCAGGGTTTTCCTAACCTGGAGAAACACAGCAGATTGACAAAAATCCTGTATTTTCATGCTGCTGTTGACCCGTAAAGTCCCTTTCCCAACTATCGCTTTACTTCTTCCATGTAAAATCCCTAGGATATAGGCAGAACAAAAATAATCCTTCTCACTGTATTAATGTGGAAAACACAAATTAGTCACCAGCCCAAAATCACACAGCTGGCTGGGATGAGAAGCCAGGTTGCCCAATTTGAAGACATTCTATTGTATGGCTCCTGACAGAGAGAACCTTGAGGAATATTGCAACAAATGAGGAACCCAGGTTTCTAGGTTTGCTTCTCTTGGCCTAATTATGTAACTCCAAACCAGCTCCTCCAATGCAAGGTGGTCAGTTGAATAGAGACAACATTAGACAAGCTCTAGTTCTCTTCATTCAGAGAAGGGTAGAGACAAAGCTGACAATGGTGGGCAGCCATTCTTCGTGAACAAACTCTCCAGGTATCTGCTATTGGACTCCTATCAAAAGCCCAGCTGAGAAAAGGAAAACTCCAGGAAGACAGCTGCTGAGGCACACATTGTTCAGTTAGGACTCCAGTTTTTCTTCTGGAATTTCATGGGACCACCAGAAGCCTGCATGAGCAGGGTCCATGGGCCCTGACCTTACAGCACCCCTTTGCTGAACTGTGCCTAAAGGGCAGATTCTTTGCTTTGGAGGCTGGTTCCAAAAATAGTACCTGGAAAAACTGCTTCCAATGTTTGTTATAAAATTATTGTCACTCAAAGCCTATTTCTTGTCACTCAGACCTCAGCTTAAATGTCACCTCCTGGTGACATCAGGCCCCCCCGATATCTTCACTCAGTGTCTATTACTGTCTAATATTTTCCAAGCTCATTCATTTCTTGGCTTGTTTTTGTGTTTTCTAAATGAAAAATAAAATTCTAAGCCCCCAACCATCTGAATGGACCTCTCCTCTCGGTCAAGGGCATTCCAATGTTAACCTGAAAAACTAGTTCAGGCCATGATGGAAAGGGGGCGGCAAACCTACCTCATTATACCCTCCTCCTTTTTGGAATTACTGTTAGAACAGACTCTTTAAGTCTGATAGAAACGTTTACAGTCTATCCTCTGAAGCCTACTACCTGGAGGCTTCATCTCTATGATAAAACCTTGGTCTGCACAACCCCTTATCTTAACCCTTTCTTTAGACAATAACTTAACTGTTTCAACCAATCGCCAATCAGAAAATCTTTGAATCTGCCTATGACCTGAAAGCCCCTGCTTCCAGTTGTTCCACCTTTCCAGACCAAACCAAGTACATCTTACATGTATTGATTGATGCCTTATATCTCCCTAAAATGTATACAATCAAGTTGTGGCCCAACTACCTTGGGTGCATGTTTTCAGAATCTCCTGAGGGCTATGTTACAGGCCATTGGTCACTCATATTTAGCTCAGAATAAATCTCTTCAAGTATTTTACAGAGTTTGACTCTCTTTGTCAACAGTTTTAAGTATTATCTGTCTTTTCTCACTAGAATATTCCCTCCCAGAGAGGAGGTGCTATGTTGTGCTGTGTTCACTCACTTTATTCTCTATCTAGAACAATGTTTGGTACACAATATGCGCTCTATAAATACTTGAATAAATATTGTTGAATGAATACATGAATCAATTCTTCTTTCTAATGCAGCATGACAGGAAGCTCAGGTTCAAAATTAAGTCTATTCAAGCTCGTTAGCAGCTCATACAGAGGAACACTGGCTTCATTCTCCTTTCTTTGGCCCTGATTTCCAATTTAAATTCCATTAACATTATGATCCATATGCTATTCCGTGTAAACAATTTAAAATCCTTTGAGGGAAGATATAGGGCATAAATAAATAAAGAAAACACTCTGTTCATCTCCTGTCTCCTTCCAGGTTTGAAAAACAAATATATAATTTGTCTCCATACAACCTCCCCCCGGGGACTGCACTGATTTGCTATCATCCTGAGCTCCAATCTGTCTCACATTTGTCCTAGGTATGTCCTTTGTGGAGCTGAAAAGCAAAGTTGCCCTCTCTGCCCAGGATAGCACTCTTGAGATTTGAAGATCAGGACTGTGTCTTCCCACCTCCCCACTGTGACTGCACTTTCAAGAATAAACCTGCCCATGACCTCGAGTGTCACTCCCTCCATCCTGGTATCCTTTCTCCAGGGGCCTCCAGTTTGTTGACATCCTCCTTGGAGGAGGAGTCCAGGTTGGAAAAGGATGTTTCCCATCTGGCCTCTTCAGTCCACAGAATAGAGCCACTGCACTAGTATTTCCATCTGTACCCACTTGCTGAGAATCCTATGCCCCACAGCTGCAGAGGAGGGAGGCTGGGCCTGGTAAGACTGACCCGCTCCTTGGAGCTCAGAATCCATGTCACATTTAGTGTGCCCTGGGTTGTTTATTTCATTGTGTAATTTAAAATACCTACTGTTATTTCTAATGATAAAACAGAAATTCATTGCAGAAAATAGAAGAAAGCACAAAGAAGTAAACAGAAAGCACCTATCACCCACAACCCAAACATAGCAACTAATAACATTTAAGCATTTCCCTCCAGTCTTTTTTCTATGCCTAGGAATATACACATGCTTTAGTTTACTGCAGTTATGGCAATACTGAACATACAGTCCTATTTCCTTTTGTGTTTTGTTTGTTTGTTTTGAGATGGAGCCTCACTCTGTCATCCAGGCTGGAGTGCAGTGGCGTGATCTCAGCTCACTGTAACCTCTGTCTCCCAGGTTCAAGCAATTCTCTTGCCTCAGCCCCCTGCCTTTTGTTTTTCTTCAATTTAACATCTTATAAGCGTTCCCCCAGGCTATTAATGATTCTTAGTGTGTGTGGTTTTAATGATTGTGTACTATTCCATCTTATAAGTGGAACTATCATTTCTTATGCATTCTGTGGTACAAGTGGACTCCTTGGGACAAGCCAGGCCTTCCAAAGGAAATCCCTTATAGGGCAGAGGGGCTCACTCACCTCCTCATTCTCTATCTTGAGGGTAGCCAGTCTGGACTGCAGCTGGTGATACCGCATGAGCAGTTCTGTCTGGACGGGCTGCTGAGCGCTGACCTGGCACACCTGCAGGAATAACAGCCACCATCTGTGGTTGCCCTGTGCCCTCCTCACCTGTGTGGAGCTAGGGCAGAGGAGTGGGGGTGCTACCATTAACATCCCAATCACAGTCCAGGAAACAGGCTCTGAAAGGTTGAGTGACCTACCCAAGGTCACAGAGCTCATAAGTGGCCATGGCAACCAATGCCAGATGAGAACCAGGGCCTTCCTACTCAAAGTCTGCCCTCTTGCCATTGCCAGGTGTGGCCTTTCAGTCATGATCTACATTTGGGAAGCAAGTGAAGGTTTATAAAGAGCCTTACCATAATCTTACTAAGCAAAATTAATTGGTTAATTTCAAGGCAAGAAGTTGTGGCAAGAAAGCAACCACCTAAGAAAAGCCAATGGGAAAAAACCTGAATGGGAAACAATCAGGGCACACTCCCATTGTGCCGCAGAAGGATGCTGCAGCAGGGCAGCTGTGAGACAATGCACTCTCACAGCTCACAGCTCTTCATCCCCCAGCACTTGACTGGGTGAGGGCTGGAGGAGGGGAAGCACCTGAGAAACGCTGTTCTCCCTCCGCCTTTTTTTTGGTTTGTTTGAGACAGGATCTCACTCTGTCACCCAGGCTGGAATGCAGTGGCGCCATCGCGGCTCACTGCAACCTCCGCCTCCCAGGTTCAAGCGATTCTCCTGCCTCAGCCCCCCAAGTAGCTGGGACTACAGGCACCTGCCACCATGCCCAGCTAATTTTTTTTTTTTTAACAGAGACAGGGTTTCACCATGTTGGCCAGGCTGGTCTTGAATTCCTGACTTCAAGTGATCCACCTGCCTCAGCCTCCCAAAGTGCTGAGATTACAGACGTGAGCCACCGCCCTCCACCTTTCATGTGGGACTCTAGTATCACCTGCGGGTTAGGCTGCTGGCAGGCATGTGCACCTCACCCCTTCCAGGATCACAGCTAGGACCACAAGGGACAGTAGGGCTCTCTGGACAGTATTAGTTATTTGCCACTGACTGGGCAACCCAAAGTTTATGGTCACCAGTGGTCACCACGAGGCCCGCATTTTCAGGTCCCGGTGATGGATCGAAAGAGTTGGAGCTGACGGCAGAGGGATGGGGCAGGCACAGCAGTGCAGCCCTGCAGAAGCAAGTGGGCAGAGCCAGGCAGAGGGTCTAGCAAATGCCATCTTCTCAGATGCCTCCTTGCCCCTCCCCTCCTAGCAGGTGCCACGGACGGCCCAGCTGAGCCTCACTGGGACCCAGACGCTGGCTGGGTCAGGGACACTGTTGGAGTGGGTTCCCCCAATGCCCAGAGGGAGCAGTGACACAGATAAGCTCAGGCAACTATTTGCATAAGGGATTTTGTAAGCCTTGGGTAACTAGTAGGGCTGTGTTGGGGCCAGTCACAAGGGCACAAGGGCCTTCTTCCCATTTGTTTTTCATTTGTTTGTTTGTTTGTTTTTTCAGAATGTAACAAGGATCTGAGCAGTACAAGCACTGAAGGAAACTCGATTGTCTGGCATATCAAAGGCTTGCAGTGTTGGAGGAAGGGAGTGCCCTGGTGGAATGCACTGGCCTGAATGGCTGTGGTGAGGCTACAGTGAGGCCCAGGCTTCCCAGGGACCTCTCCTGGGCATCTGGGGGAAGAACATGAGCCTGTGTGCAGACTGGGTCTCCCTTGGAGTCTTCTAGACATAGCTGGGAGGGGTTGTAAAGGAAGCCAAGGTGCTGCAATTCTGCATGGGGGGGCACTTGAGACAGTAAGATTAGGGTATTAGTGGTAAACTCCTCGGCTGGGGAAGCCCATGAACCAGGAGCTTGACCCCAGGCCTCGGATAGAAACTTCCTGTATGTGCAACCTGGGCTGATGTTCTGGAGCACATGGGGGAACAGAGGGAGGCAGCCCCAAGCCCGGGCTCCAGGGGGAAGCCTACCTCATCCCCCATGTGGGGCTGGAACTCGAACTTGAGTGGAGGGCAGAAGACTTGATTGCACATGTCCATGACTGTGTGCTTGTCACTTCGGGAATCCAGGTTGTCCACTGCATTCTCGATGACATCCAGTCCCTCGTGGCGAGAAGTCTCCAGATTATATTCAGCTGAGAGATAGGTCCGGAAGGTGCGGGCCAGGCTGGCATGAAAGCCCAAATCACAGCACTTGGGGAGAGGCAACAACAGAAGGTTACAGGTGAGAGCCAGGATGTGGAGGGGTGGTCACCGGCCACCACAATGACTTACAATTACCTCCCTTTCCACAGCTGAATCTTCCATCCCGGAGGCCCCAAGGCACTTTGGAATCCTACTGCACAAACCACACCACGGCCCTCAGCGGGAGTTGCGGTTGAGATTTGCGCAATAGCAGAACTAGGCTCCCTATATTCACCATCTTTCTCTTTTTTCTTTTTTCTTTTTTTTTTTTTGAGATGGAATCTCGCTCTGTCACCCAGGCTGGAGTGCAATGGCGTGATCTCGGCTCACTGCAACCTCCGCCTTGTGGGTTCAAGCAATTTTCCTGCCTCAGCCTCCCGAGCAGCTGGGATTACAGGTACCCACCACCACTCCCAGCTAATTTTTGTATTTTTAAGAGACGGGGGTTTCACTGTGTTGGCCCGGTTGATCTCGAACTCCGGACCTCATGATCCACCCGCCTCGGCCTTCCAAAGTTCACAAGTACAAGCCACTGCTCCCGGCCCATCTTTCTCTTCTTTAGGGTGGTGTGCATGCATCCCCTCTGCCTGGAATACTCTTCTTTCAGAATTCAGTTTAGAGGTCACTTCCTCCAGGAAGGCTTCCTTGATGTTCTCCCCACTCAGAGTTGGTCAGGTGTTCCTTCTCCAGGGGTCCACATTTCCCTCTACCTCCCTCACTGTGACCCCTGCCACTTAGTATTAAAATCATCTATCAACATGTCTTTGGTAAGGTGCGCTCCCCGAGGGCCAACCCACTGGCTCCTGCACCTCAAGTTCCAGACAACAGCACGTGCTCCATTAACATATGGTAAATGAATCAATAAAAGGGCTGAAAGGGCAAAAAGGAAAGTTGAAAAGTAGGAAAGAGGAAGGTCTGTCCTTGGGCCATTTGGGAGCTCCCTCTCCTTGCGATGCTGAGAAGGGGTCTCCCTCTGGAGCCATGGGAAAAGCAGGAGCCCCCTGACTTCCCGACAGGATACACCAGGAGAAGAGCCCATCAACCAATACCGAGCCTTTACTAAGCATGGACAGGGCCAGCTCCCCGATCTGTGCAGGAAGGGGGACACAAGAGAAACAGTCCTGGCTCCTACTTAGATGACAAAGAAGCCCTCCCCAGCGCCTCCGCTCACAGTGTTCTTTCTCCCAGTCTGCTTGTCCGTGTGGCGTGTCCTGCACAGCTGGTACTTGGGAGTCAGTGTTCCATTCTCCATTTGCTTAAGCTGCCCGATTTCTCCCGAGATAACCTCCCCACACAAAGCTGATCTGCATAATTAAGTCTGTCTCATTCGCTACTTTCTTTCGCATGTATGTGTGTCTGGCTGAGAGGCCCTAGGGGCGCTAAACATATTACCAATGACATCTCCTTTACCACACTGGGAAATCCCCCAAGGCATGAACTGTGTATGGTTCACCCCTGAATCCCTCAAACCCAGCAAAGGACCTGGTGTCCAGGAAGGTACTTGGGAAGTTGGCACTGGATATACGACTGCCCAAGTCAACTGCACTGGGGCCACCAGAGGCCCATGTCCCACTCATGAAAATAGACACCACGAGGCAACACTCATTTTCCTGCTTCCAAACATTCACTGCCCCTCCCCTCCGGCAGGGCTCAAAAGACCCCTGGCTACCCCAGAATGTCAGCTAAAGACAAAGACCAGCCCCTCCTTCAGCCAGTGACGTGCGCCAGCCCAGATGTGGGCCCTGCTCAGTCCCAGACTCCCCAGGGAGCTCACATCGATCAGATCGGAGACGTCATGGATGTAGTATTTGCTTATAGCTGCGTTGGTGGCTGCCAGATTGAGCAAGTAGTCATTCCGGGCCTTTGTGCATTTCAGCTTGTTTTCAGAGTACTTGGCCTGCCTCTGGAAGAAGAAAAGAATAGACGTAAGAAAAGCCATTTAAGAGGACGGGATTTGTGATTTTTTTTTTTTTTTTTTTTTTTTTTAGAGACAGGGTGTTGTTGTGTCACCCAGGCTGGAGTGCAGTGATGTGATCATAGCTCACTTGAGCCTTAACTCCTGGACTCAAACAATCCTCCCACCTCAGCCTCCTGAGTAGCTGGGACTATAGATGCATGCCATCACACCTGCCTAGTTTTTGTTTTTAAAGTTTTTTGGAGAGAGTGGGGTCTCACTATGTTGCCCAGGCTGGTCTGGAACTCCCAGCCTCAAGCCATCCTCTCACCTCAGCTTTCCAAGTGTTGGGATTACAGGCGTGAGCCATCATGCCCGGCCCAGTGATTTTTTTTTCTTTATAGTAACTTCCTGCCACCCCAGCCCTGCACAGACACACCTATGGAAGACCTCCAACTGCTAGATGAGGAAGGGTTGGACCTGGACTCAGGCAGCCCCTTTACATTGCACCTGCACAGCCAATGAGGACACTAGATAAGCAGCAGCCTCCGACTGTCCTTGCTAGGGTAGGGTGTAAATCAGATCCCTGGCCGGGAGCATTGGCCTATAATCCCAACACTTTGGGAGGCCAAGGTAGGCATATCACCTGAGGTCAGGAGATCAAGACCAGCCTGGCCAACAGGGCAAAACCCTATCTCTACTAAAAATACAAAAATTAGCTAGGTGTGGTGGCCCGCAGCTGTAGTCCCAGCTACTTGGGAGGCTGGGGTAGGAAAATCACTTGAACCCAGGAGGCAGAGGTTGCAGTAAGCGGAGATTGCACCGCTGCACTCCAGGTCTAAGTGACAGAAAGAGACTCCGTCTCAATCAATCAATCAATCAATCAATAAGATCCCTACCCAGCAACCTCCAGTGACAAACCAAACTGCTGCTCACGCCTGAGAAGCTCTCCATGGCCTGGTCCTGTCCACTTCTCAAGCTCTACCTTCCCCCATGCTCCCCCTCACTTGCTCAGCCTCCTTGATTCTTCCTTTAAGATGGCAAGTTCATTCCTATCTCAAGGCCCTCAGACTCATGGTTCCCTCAGCCTTGGCCTAAGGTCTTGAGGCCAGATTGGCCTTCAATAACAAGCTCATCTACCTCTCCCACTCCCTCTGCCCACCCCTGCCCGACTCTTTTCTTTATAAGCACTTCCACCACCTGAAATTTTTTTTTTTTTTTTTTTCCTACCCTTTCATTTATTTGTTGATTGTCAGTGACCTCTCATTAGAAAATAAGTGGGGTTAGGGACTTGATCTGCCTTGTTCATTGCTAGGTCTGGAGCGCCCAGAACTGTCCCTGCACAGGGTAGGTATTCAGTCATTTTCAGTGACTGGAGGACAGGAGGGAGGAGGATGACTGGATGGGAGTGGTGGGGAGAGGCGGGGTGAGGTAGCCAGAGCGGCCCATCTCAGCTGGGACCCAAATGCCTCCCAGGGAGCTGCTCCTGTCTGGGCCAGCCTGAGAATGGAGCAGGAAAGAGTAAGCGGGCTGCAGAGCTGTCCTCTGCTCCTTGCAGACTGATGAGTCCCATTGCTGCGTAAAAGTCAGGTCTCTGTAAATAAATGGTTTTCCTCCTTCACCTAGACATTCTTACACCTTCCTATCCCACAGTGAGTTCTCAACCTTTTAATTCTCTTCAGAGATCTCTAACTTTTCTCCAGGGTCCTGGCAGTTACATCCTACACCAGCCATGCACCCGACCGACCCCCACACAGAGTTTTGATATTCTTGGCCTATTTCCAGTGGCCCACTATGACCATGACCCTGAGACCATGTTTAGCCCTTCATAGACTCATAAAATGTTATACCTAGGAAGGATGTTAAAGGTATTTTCGTTAAACTCATCTATTTTATAGATGAGGAAATGAGAACTGGAGAGAAGTGGCTTGCCCAAGAGCCAAGTAGCTAACCGAACTAAAAATAAAACTCTGAACTAAAAATCAGCCTCCGGACTTCCAGTCAGCACTCACTCTACCTCTCTGTTTCTCCCTATGTTGTAGTCCTATCATTCCCTGCTTGGTTATTTTATTTTATTTTTATTTATTTTTACTATATTCACAGAGTCGTACAACCATTATCATTATCTAACTTTAGAATATTTTCATCATCCCAGAAAGAAACCCTGCACCTATTCACAGTTACTCCCCATTTTCCTCTTCCTTAGCCCCTGGAAACCAATCATCTATTTTCTATTTCTATAGATTTGTCTATGCTGGACATTTCATAAATGTAATTGTACAATATGTGGCCTTTCGTGACTGACTTCTTTCGTTTAGCACATTCTTTCGTTTAGCACACTTCTTTCGTTTTCAAGGTTCATTCATGTTGCAGTGTGCGTCAGTACTTCATTCCTTTTCGTGGTTGAATAATATTCCATCACATGGATATACCACATTTTATTTTATTCAACCATTTATCAGCAGATGAACATCTGAGTCATTTCCATCTTTTGGCTATTATGAATAGTACTGCTATTCATGTACAAGTCTTTGAATGGACATATGTTTTTATTTTTCTTGGGTGGATACCTAGGAATAAAATTGTTGAGTCACATGGTAACTTAGCCTATCTTTAACATTTAGATTGCTTTCCAAAGTGATAGAATCATTGTACATTCCCTCTAGTAGTGTGTGAAGATTCCAATTTCTCCACATTCTTATCAATACTTCCTATAGTCTGCCTTTTTTTTTTCTTTTTTTGACAGAGTCTTGCTCTATCACCCAGGCTGGAGTGTGGTGGCACAATCTCGGCTCACTGCAAGCTCTGCCTTCCGGGTTCACACCATTCTCCTGCCTCAGCCTCCTGAATAGCTGGGACTACAGGCACCCACCACTGCGCCTGGGTAATTTTTTGTATTTTTAGTAGAGACGGGGTTTCACCTTGTTAGCCAGGATGGTCTCAATCTCCTGACCTTGTGATCCACTCGCCTTGGCCTCCCAAAGTGCTGGGACTACAGGCATGAGCCACCACGCCCGGTCCTAGTCTGCCTTTTTAATTCTAGCTACCCTTGTGGGTGTGAAGTGGCATTTCATTGAGTTTGATTTGCATTTCCTTAATCATGAATGATAGAGATGATCTTTTTTTTTTTTTTTTTGAGACAAGGTCTCACCTGTTGCCGAGGCTGGAATGCAGTGAAGTGATCATGGCTCACTGCCACCTCGACCTCCCTCAGGTAATCCTCCTACCTCAGCCTCCCAAGTAGCTGGGACTACAGGCACATGACACCACACCTGCCTAATTTTTCTATTTTTTGTAGCGATGGGGTTCTGCCATATTGCCCAACCTGGTCTCGAACTCCTGAGCTCAAACAATCTGCCCACCTCGGCCTCCCAAAGTGTTAGGATTAGAGGAGTGAAGCACCATGCCTGGCCCAGTCTTTTCATGTCCTTTTTGGCCACTCGTACATGCTTTTTTAAGAGCGACATTTATTCAAATTCTTTGCCTTTTTTTTTTTTTTTTTTCCATAGAGATGGAGTTTTGCCATTTTACCCAGGCTGGTCTCGAACTCCTGGGCTCAAACAATCCTCCCGCCTTGGACTCCCAAAGTGCTGATATTACAGGCATGAGCCACCGTGGCCAGACCTACAGCACTGTTTTTAACTAAATCTGGATAGGGTTTCACGATTCTCAGTCCAGCGCTCTGGGCAATTGATCAGAATTGACATGAGAGATGAGACGAATTTGCCACTCCTGTCAGATTTCAAAACTGCAGCTCAGAGAGGTGTTATAAAAGTGACATTTTCAAAACCCAGCCCATCTGACTCCAAAGCTATAATTCCTTCCACCACACCCTACTAAAGGACTTTTCCAGAATCAATACACATGGATTTTAACTCTCTCTTCTTTGAGTTGGCAATGGCAATTTTGGAATGAGCCCTTTACCAGGTTTCCAGGTTCTGGTTCCTCTTGTTGAGATACATTCAGTAATCAGTTCCCCCCTCACCCCCAGACCCTACCCTTGGCCAGTAAATTGGCCTCTGGAACAAGCCCCTGCTCCCACTAATGCCTGGTGATTCCAGGTCATCTGAGAAGGTGCTTGCTGGGTGTGAATCTCATCACAGTTCAGCTTACTTGTGAGTTGAGCACCTCGTCTGCCTACTGACTTTAGCATTAAGTCAGGCCTAACCAGTGCTAGCAGGGGCACGTCCGGCCCTGCTTCCACTAGAACACCAATCTCCGAAAGAAGAGATACTGGCTACATTGTCCCATCCCCTGCACCCACCACCACCCCACTGGGATGTGGGGAAAAAAGGGGGAAGGCTAAGGCTGTCCGCCAAGAGCATGGCCCTCCCCTTTGTGCCCTGTCCCCAGTCGCTCCCAGCCCAGGGCCCCCACTCGCCTTCTCCTTCATCTTCTCAATCTTCTTCACAGAGCTGCGGCGCTGGGGCCGGTCCTCGTGCCGCAGCAGGTTCATGCTGAGGTCTCCGGACTTATTGAACTGCTTCTCCTCCTGCTTCTCAGCCTCCTTCAGCTTGCTTTCTGCACTGATGCTCTCTGCATGGTACATGTGGTAGGTTTTCATGACCTGGGGGCGCACAAGTAGGGGAAATCAGCACCCAGCTATGACCCAGCATGGCCCTCCCTGTTGCTCCTGGCTCCATACCAAGTTCTACGCTCTAGTTGGCCGCTGCCCTGGTCCCACAACACGCTCTGGGCACCTGCCTTCCTTTACTTTTGCACAGACTCTCTGAGGACTGGATATCATCAACAACATCATTAAACCCTAACTAAGAGCCAGGCATGGGCTAGTAAAGAGGAAATTTAAAAATAATAAATAAATAAATAAATAAGGAGGAAATTTAAAAGGGTAACCATAGCTCCAAGCATCTGGGCACTGTCAGAAGTGACAAGGCAAGCCCAGCCCTTGCTCAGCTATCCTCTCTAGCCCTGCCAGCAGTGACTGTGGCATCCCTCCCTCTCCTGTACCCAGTGCCGCAGGGATAGCCCCTCCTCACATACCCACGGGAATTGAATGGGGAACATCCTTCTTACAAACAAATCATTTTCTCAGCTGTTTCCTGAAGTACAATGGGCTGCAAATGGCTCTGTACCCAAAATGAGTAACATTAAGTAACCCAATAGATATTCTATGCTCTCTGGAATAAATTCATCCTTGCCTATAAAAACAATTCCTCCTGTAATCCCAGCACTTTGGGAGGCCGAGGCAGGAGGATCACGAAGTCAGGAGATTGAGACCATCCTGGCTAACATGGTGAAACTCCGTCTCTACTAAACAAAATACAAAAAATTAGCCAGGCATGGTGGCAGGCGCCTGTAGTCCCGGCTATTTGGGAGGCTGAGGCAGGAGAATGGCGCGAACCAGGGAGGCGGAGCTTGCAATGAGCCGAGATCATGCCACTGCACTCCAGCCTGGGTGACAGGGTGAGACTCCGTCTCAAAAAAAAAAAAAAAAAGGAAACAATTCCTATAAAGCAAATTGCACTTTGCTACTCTACTTCCATAACAGAAAATGAATATTGTTATTACAGGGGAAATTTCTGAGCCAGAAGAAATTCTAGACATCATCTAATCCAACAACCTTTCAGTTTGACAAATAGGGAAACTGAGGCTCAGAGGTGCCAAGTATCACCAAGTATCAGTGCAGAGACACCAAACTTTACATCCATGTATCCAGGATCACAAGCAAAATATAGAACTTCCGCTACACCAGAAAGATCCCTCATGCCCCTTTGCAGCCAATACCTGACCCCACTCCAACCCCAATCACAGGTTTGCCTTCTGTCGTGTGTTCAGAATCCAGTTCCATGAAATCATACAATATAAACTCCTTTGGGTCAGCCTTCTTTTTACTCAGCATAATTTTTCTGAGATTCACTGATGATGCTGTACATATCAGAACTTCTTTTTTACGGCTAAGTATTCCATTGCATGGTTATGCCACAATCTGTTTACTTAGTCATATGTCCATAGCTACTTGAGGTGCTTACAGTTTTTAGCTATTTTGGATAAAGCTGCTATGAATGCTTATGTACATTTCTTTGTGTAGACATGTATTTTTCATTTTTCTTAGGTAAATACCCAGGGGTGGGATGAAGGGTCATATGGTAAACACATATTTAACCATACTGGACATCTGGACTCTCACTTTTAATCCACCACTTTTTCTACCAGATCATCCTAGATTGTCTGTATCATTTTTTTATAAATAGAGATGGAGTTTTGCCATGTTGTCCAAACTCATCTCGAACTCCTGGGCTCACGTGATCCTCCTGCCTCAGCCTCCCAAAGTGCTGGTATTACAGGTGGGAACCACCACACCCAGCCCTTAATGAATTTCTTTAATTCATTACCACTTTCTGAGCAGACATCAATACTTTTAGTAGCGTGAACACTGACTGGGCTGCTCCATACCAATAGCATTTTTGCTGGTCCCCAACTAGAAATGTACTTTTCTTTTGCAATGCCAAATGTATGACCATCTTTCTATGCTAAGAAACTTCTGGAATCCATGGCTCCTGGGCCTTGTTCATTCTCTTCTGTGGTTTGGATTACTATAACAGCTAATAGAATAAAGGCTTCCCCCTGGGAATGAAATGTGCTCCTATCTAACCAAGCCCTGTAAGTTGGAGAACTCAGAATGAATTCCTGGTCAACCCTAAAATCTTATTCCTTGTCATTTGAAGTGCTGTGAAGTGAGTTTATTAGAATGAGGAATTCTGTGCCTTTTTTTTTAAGACAGTTTCACTCTTGTTGCCCAGGTTGGAGTACAGTGGCACGATCTCGGCTCACTGCAACCTCCACCTCCTGGGTTCAAGTGATTCTCCTGCCTCAGTCTCTCAAGTAGCTGAGATTACAGGCGCCCGCCACCACACCTGGCTAATTTTTATATTTTAGTAGAGATGGGGTTTCACCATGTTTGTCAGGCTGGTCTTGAGCTCCTGATCTCAGGTGATCCACCCGCCTCGGCCTCCCAAAGTGCTAGGATTACAGATGTGAGCCACTGTACCCAGCCTCTGTGACTTTTATCATTAAATCACAGCACTGATTCATTGCTCAGAAAGTTCCCTTTGCCACAGCCCAGGAGTCAATGTGGCAACATCTATTGCAGACCATAGAAGGTAGGAATATGGACAAATGTCTGGGTTGAATCCTGATGCTCCCACTCGCCAGCTGTGTGGCTTTGGACAAGTCACACAACCTCTCTGACCTCTGCTTCCTCATATGTAAAACACGGATAATAATAGCACCTACTTCCTAGGCTGCTTGTGAGCACTAAATGAGTCAGTTTCTGTCAAGTGCTGAGAACAATACCTTCCACAGAGTAAGAGCCATGGAGGTATCTATCAGGTGCTACCACCACCATCATCATCATCATTATCATCCCTGATTTGGGTTCAGGGTTTAAGAACCTTAAACATGCTCACTTGGAAATGCTTACAAGCTCTGGAGAACATTAACTAATGTAAAAAAAAAAATATATATATATATATATATAATTTTTAAGCCATGTTTCTCCCTTCTTTTTTTATCCTAAAAATCTCCCAGACTTGTAAAACAATACCAAGATTTAAAATGCAGTCAACTTTTCTTCGTGGGTCTTGGTGGAAAGATTGCTTCTCTGCATTCCATCCATTTTTGTTCATTTGCAATCTCTCTAAGACTCCTAAAAACCCCCTTCTTGCTGATTTCATCCTCTCTGTATGCCAGTTCCACCAAGATCACATCCAAATAACTCAACGGACCAGAAAATGTGCCATATTGATGCGTTCTCGACATCTAGTGGCCAAAAGCGGTGACTGCAGACTTGCAGATAATCAAAGCAGGTGCCTATTTTGATGATCTTCATGCCTTGGTTTAAAGGACACTGGGGCCTGTCGGGGCGGTGGCAGCAGGAAGAGCATCAGGATAAATAGCTAATGCATGTAGGTGATGGGCCGATAGGTGCAGCAAACCACCATGGCACACGTTTACCTGTGTAACAAACCTGCGTGTCCTGCACATGTATCCTGGAACTTAAAATAAAAATAAAATAAATGAGTCCATTGAGTCATTTGGATATGGTCTTGGTGGAACTGGCATACGGAGAGGATGAAATCAGCAGGAAGGGGGTTTCTAGGAGGTTTAGGGAGATTACAAATGAGCAAAAATGGATGGAATGCAAAGAAGAAATAAAATATTATAAAACAGGTGTGGCTAAAGGGTGGGAACACATGTCGCAGCTGTCTCCAGGACCCCACCTTCCCCCTTCGACATGTCCCTCCACATCCACAGACAACCCTGGTTTCTTTGCCTCACCACCATATTGCTGGTGTTTTTCATGTCTGGATCCCATCCCTGTCTGCGTTCAACGATTCCTGCTACATCTCCTTTTTCTATTTTGGCTTCTGAGTCTGCCTGCCTCGCCACGAATCTGTCATCTGCGCTGGGTAGTTCAGGGGAAAAGACAGCCTTTCTATTTACAGCTAGATCTTCCTGTCCAATCACCATGCATCCATCCACTCACTCAAGGTCAGCAGCCCAGCTGGGTGTTCTCAATTCGCACATATCCTTTGCCTAGTTTTCTTTTTTTATTTTCTCTCCCTTTACATCATTTTCTACTCTTCTTGAGCCACAGAGTACTCTTCCTGTGCTCTGACAGGCCAGACTTCCCAGGATAGCCTCTAAACTTCATTCCAAAAATCCTATGCTTGGAGAAGATAACCCACATACCCTGGGGCCAAACTCCCGTGATCTACTTGATTCCTGATTCCAAGAATAACAGTGAACTCCACTGCCCAGGGTCACTTATGACAGCTGCCACCAAAGAGTTCACCTGGAGGTTTCTCTGAAAGGATTCTCTTTGTACCCAGAATCCTCTAGATGTTTTTATTTAATTCCCTGATACATGGGCTTCAGCATGAATGGTCCTTAGCTCAATAGATGAGAACAGTTAGCCCAATATTGCCAGTCCAGGATGCATTAAATAATATTTAACCTTATCTATTACTTCAAAGTTTGCAAACCTCTTTCTAGGAGCCCTTCTAGTGAAGGAACATTTCAATGAGTCCTTTCCCCAAACCTGGGAGGCAGTGTGATGACAGTAACAACAATGATAGCAGCTAGCATCTATTGAGCACTTACTACATGCCAGGCCTTGCTTTATGCATTTTACCTATATTAACTCATTTATTTCTCACAAAACCCCTATGAGATAGGCATCCTATGATCCCTGCTTTATAGATGAGAAAACCATGGCCCAGAATAGGTCAGTAAGTTTCTCTAGGTGAAAAACTGGTAAGTGGAGTCAGGGTTCAAAGCCAAGGTGGCTGACCCCACAGCCTGGGCCTACTGAACACATGCTTGTTTTGCTTCCCCTATACCCCTTTCTCAACTGTAAAACAGGGGTGAAAGGCTCCTCCAGCCCACTGGAATTAGGGAGACTTGGTTTTGAGACTCAGCCTTCCCACTACTTGCTGGGTGGCTGTGGAGAGGCGTGTCCTTTCCGTGCCCACTTGGTGAAGATCAGAAGGGGGTAGATGGGGAAAGTGCTCTGTCAACTGCAAATTGTCAAGTGACCAACTGCCA